TCTCAGTTGCCTTGAAACCAGATGAAGCACCCAGAGGCCACCACTAACTAACTGCTTTCAGAGATTTTACCAGTTTTGGAACAAGTAATGGATCCCTCCCATTGCACACACCCCCTCTTCCCGCAGTGTCCAGCATGGGGGGGCAGCGCTGCACGTGCCAGCCGGTGACAGCCAACTTCACCTCAGCACTGCTTTCCCTGCAGACCTGCATGACTTAGGGTGGACTTATTTTCTTCTCTCCTCCGTGTCTTCCTTTTCCTTCTGAGGAGCAGCCCTCTTCCCCATGGCCCCACTTGCAGTCCTGGTGACGGGTGAGCCTAGTTCACCTTTGGTGGAGGGGCTGTAAACCCTAGCAGCAGTGTGAAGGAGGTCACACTTCACACGTCGTGCCTCAGAGGGTCTCTGGAGGAGCAGCAGCACAGAACGTCTGATTTCTCGTTTTAGCCACAGAGAAACATATACGTTTTGATTTGCAAGTAGGAGCAGCAGAGACAACGGGTCCTGTAGTTCTGAGTGCGCCTGCGTGGAAGCCCTCGCCTTTGCCTGTCTCGGCTCTCACCATGTTTGCTGCATCTGCGGGTGCAGGAGCCACCCCATCTTTCTCACGCATCTGAACTCAGCGGGGAGTTCACACTGGCCTTGCCTTCCTGAGGTTTTGGAGGGCATCCTGCTCTGTAGTCACCAGTCCTGAGCAGCCTGTCCACGGTGGCTCTCTGGCTGGTGGCCCGCCCTGGCCAGACCCCAGCCTGGTCTCCACCCTTCTCCGTGGGCAAGTCGTGGACAGGCATCCCTGCCTCCAGGGTCTCCTGCTGGGGCTTGGCCTGTGAGCCTGGGGACCAGCCACCGTGAGTCGTGCAGGAGGAAGGCAGGAAGCAGGCCAAGCCCATCCCTGGGTCTGGCCCTTGGTCCCTTCTGGCCTCTTCAGATACTTAACCTGGTTGCTTTCTGGAAAAAAAATGATACTGGGCCAGTGTCCATGCTGGGAGCCGCAGTGTGGTGTCTGTCTCCATCTGTCCCAGGGCCAGGCGGCCAGGGGCTGGCTGGGCAGGAGCAGTGCTTGTACTTGTCACTCACCATGGCGGCCAGGTTCCCAGGGAGTGGGGGGAACACGAGGAAAGCCACTGTAGTTTTTCTCGCCATTGTACCTGCAAATGCACTCATTTGTCCAGCTCTCTCTTTTCCTCAGGATAAAGTCTGGGAAGTCTGTGTGGCCTTTCTGGTCACTTTGCCTAGTTCTGTTCAGGGGGCTATCACATCAGCCCTGAGCTGGGCCCACTGCAGGCCTAGCCGGTTCTTCTCTGTTTCTCGCTTCACCTCCTCCCCGTTCTCTGGCAGCACCTGTGCCCCCTGCGGGGCCAGCGCAGGCCAGACAGGAGAGGCCAGACAGGAGAGGCCAGACAGACAGGAGGGGCCAGACAGACAGGAGAGGCCAGACAGACAGGAGAGGCCAGAGGGCAGCAAAGGCCATCTTGGCTCTCCTCCTTTGGGTGCCCGCTGGGCTTGGGGGAGGTCCTAATGCTGACTCCATTTCCAAGGACGTGCTTGTGCAGGTCTTCAGACCTCCCCCCAGCTGAGGGTCTCTGCCCGCCATTCCCTGGACAGAGGTAGTGGTGCCCCAAGCCAATGGCTGTGCCCGCCCTTCAGGCCTGGCTTCTGGGCTTCTCCCTCATAGGCAGAGTCCTGAAGACAGCGTGGCCCAGGCCTCCTCCCAGGATTCGCGCTCAGTCTCCGCAACCCTGGAGCCCCAGGGATGCTCCCCGTCCCTCAGCTCAGCATGAGGAGGGGACCCTCTTCCCCTCGCCAAGAGAAGACAGAGGCAAAATGCAGAGATGCTGACAGCTTGCTCAAGAAAAGTCCCTCTTTTGGATTTTTGCACCCCAAGAGTAGGTGGACCCCCCAGCAGGGGTACACCTCCTGGAAGGAGGAAACAGTCCTGTTCTCTGTGGTGTGACCACATAAGAGCTCTCCAGGGAGGAGGAAGATGTGGGGAGGTCCCGTGGGAGTGACTAAAAGCCTCTGTGAGGTCTCTCTCACAGAGCTCAAATGCTACCATAGTAACGTGTCAGAACCAAAACAGCCTTGGTTCTAGAAGCTCCCCACCTGCATCTGGGATCTACCTGCTGCTGTGGGTCCAGGTGACTGTCCGGAGCCCACACACAGCCCTGCAGACTGCAGTTATTGGGCCAGAAAACCCTGCGCCCTCCACATATATACAATGGAATATTACTCAGCCATAAAAAGAAACAAAACTGAGTTATTTGTAGTGAGATGGATGGACCTAGAGTTTGTCATACAGAGTGAAGTAAGTCAGAAAGAGTAAAACAAATACCGTATGCTAACACATATATATGGAATCTAAAAAAAAAAAGAAACCGGTCATGAAGAACCTAGGGGCAAGAAGAGAATAAAGTCGCAGACCTACTAGAGAATGGACTTGAGGACATGGGGAGGGGGAAGGGTAAGCTGGGACGAAGTGAGAGAGTGGCATGGACATATATACACTATCAAACATAAGGTAGATAGCTAGCGGGAAGCAGCCGCATAGCACAGGGAGATCAGCTTGGTGCCTTGTGACCACCTAGAGGGGTGGGATAGGGAGGGTGGGAGGGAGGCAGACGCAAGAGGGAAGAGATATGGGATCATATGTATATGTATAACTGATTCACTTTGTTATAAAGCAGAAACTAACACACCATTGTAAAGCAATTATACTCCAATAAAGATGTTAGAAAACAAACAAACAAAACAAAAAAACCCTGTGCCCTGGCTTGGGAGGGCATGGGGTGGGGGAGGATTGGAGCCCCTGGGACCATTTAAAATCCAGGAGAAACCAGACATGGGGCTGGGACACCACCTGCAGAGCATTCCTGTGCCATGATCTGTGCAGAGCGATAGGCAAGGGTATGCTCCCGAGGCCCTGGCACGTGTCAGAATCCTGCCTGCACCCGGGGTTGCCCACCCAGCACCCCTCACAGAAGAGGACACTAGTGGCCAGCATGATGCTTACCTGCTCCCCAAACCTTCTGGCCCAAGTTGCATGGAGGGAACTTAAAAAGACCAGGGAGGGAGTTCCCTGGTGGCCTAGTGGTTAGGATTACAGGCTTTCATTGCCGTGACCCGGGTTCAATCCCTGGCCAGAGTTGTGCGGTGTGGCCAGAAACACTTCCATCTTTACGACTGAAACCAAACTAATGGTGAAGGGGTCCTGCGAGGAGGGGGACATTTGGAGGCACAGGGCAGCTACCATAGGGTTGGCAGGTCTCAGCAATGCCCGAGCACTGGGCGAGTGGTCAGCTGGTCCAGCACCTTCTCCCCCGACCCCATATCCTCAAGGCTTAAGGAGTGGGAGAAAGAGGAGGGGACAGTAGGGGACACAGCCACTGCCTATCACCTGGGGGCCTCTATGTGGTGGTCCTGCCTTGACCTTGGCAAACCCGAGTCCCTGTGAGGGGCGACAGGGACAAACAGATGTCGTCTGCTGCCTGCCCCCACTCTCCTGCTCTGAGTCCTCTGGGGTCCCAGGGAGCAGCAGCAGTGCCCAGGCCATGGCCTTAGGAGTCAGATGGCCCAAACCAGCCATGTGACTGTCCGTCAAGTGCCTCCTGGATGGGAGGACTCGGGGGGGAAACAGTATGTGGCGACTGTGACCTGTTATTCTTATCATTACTGCTGTCATTCCCCACATCTTCCCCACCCTGGAAGAGTCACCAGGCAGGATCCAATGTACCAGCGTCTACAGAGCAGCAGGGGCTGGAGGGACAATGGGGAAAAGGATGGCGAGGAACCCTTTAGACGCATCCCAGGCAAGACTCAGCAGTGTGGGAAAGTAGAGAGCAGGCTTTCAGGAATGGGTTGAGTCTTTAGGATATTTGCCCCCAGATGTCCTAAACAAGACAGACTTTTGGTGTTGACAAGTCTCCCGATTAAAACAAAGTGACAGGGAATTCCCTGGCTGTCCAGTGATTGAGACTTTGCCTTCTAATGCAGGGGGTGCGGGTTCAATTCCTGGTCGGGGAATTAAGATCCCACATGTTTCGGGGCCAAAAAACCAAAATGTAAAACAGAAGCAATATTGTAACAAATTCAATACAGACTTGAAAAGTGGTCCACATAAAAAAACACAAAAAAACAAAGTGACAAAACAACCCTGTAAGAATAGTGTTTACAGGCTTCCTTATCATCTCTAAGTCTCGTCTTTGAAGGGCCTCTGTCTGGTGCCGGCCTGGAAAGCGCTAGGTCCTGCTGCAGAGGCTGAGGACCCAGATGCAGAGATGCATGGGGGCAGTGTAGGGCCTGGGATGCACTGCCTGCAGGGGCTGTCTAGAGCCTCTGATCGTTTCTTGGGTCTCCCCGCTGTCAACAAGCATCCTCTCTTGTGTTTGGCTGAGACTTTTTCTGGGGGGTGACAACCTGGCCCTTGGTTTCAAAAAGCTGGGGCAAAGGGGCTGCAGCTGCCCTGTTGGCTGCACCTGCATTCCCACGTGGGGATGGTCCAGCCGTGTCTGCAGGAAGAACAGCCGCTGCCCACGTGTGCAGAGCAGTAGAGCCTGGGTGCCAGGAACACGCAGGATGTCCCTGGAGCCCGTCTGGGAGACGCTGGGCTCGCCTAACCATCTTTTGTTTCACTGTGACTTCTTAAAGCCAGAAATTAGATGTTCAGATGAAAAAACCCAAATCAGCAGCCTGAGGCTTCAGAGCCTGGTGAGTGCATGGGCAGTGTGGGCCCTCCCGAGGCTGGCTGGGAGGTGAGTCCCTCTCTGCTGTGGTGTCAGGGGTCACACGTAAGCTCATGAGATGCACATGCGGACTGTGCACACTTTCCCCCAAACATCTGGCAGGGTCCTGCTGTCCCCCCCGCCCCACACCTGCCCTGCATCCTTGGTAGAATCTAAGGTCTGAAGGCAGGAGTCGTCCTCATCTCGTCCCCAGCTTGGGGGTCCCGCGTCATCCCCAACTTCCCATGCCACTGGGGGTGGGGGCACGGCCGGGGCAGCACTTACCCCCCGCCCGAGCCGCCGTGCTTGCTGATGTGTGTGCGTGGCTCGCTGGAGGCCAGCTTCAGCAGCTCTGTCCACTCTCGCTCCCATTCTTCCTCCGTGTACACCAGCCCTGACTGGCGCAAAGGGGGGCGGGCTCAGGAGGGGGCGGCCACTCCTTACCCTCCACCCAGGCGATCCTGGCCGAGAGCCTCACCTCCCGGTTTCATCAGCCCCTGGGCCTGGGGCGCCTGTTAGTGGCCGAGGACCATCCCCATTTGCTCTGACAGAATTTGTTCAGAATCCCCAATCTCCAACCTCCATGCCATTGGGAGTCCACCCAGCAATAGGGTCATTCCCAGGGGTGAGAACGACCAGTGTAACCTGTACGTGCACTGGGCAGGGCGCCAACCACTGACACGTGTGTAGGGACCCGGGCAGACCCATCTTCAAGGGCTTCCAGGCCAGCAAAGGGCCAGTGCTCACCGAGGTTCAGGGATGAGGATTCCCTTTGGACTGAGCACACACACTGGGGCTGGGGCCGTGGGCTGTGCCAGGGCCAATCTGTGGCTGCACCAGCAGTGACCTGACGGGTGACCAGCTAATTCACCATTCAGGTTGGGACAGCCTTATGAGTGAAGGCGATTGGTTTTCATAATTACACCAGGACGGGTGGGGGAAATGGACGTCTGGTCGCTGTGGGCAGGGCCTGACTGTTGCAGTGGGCTCCTCTTTAGTGGGTCTGAGTGGGGGACGGAGCCATTGCTGCTGATCTCACAAGACAGAATTGGCCTCGGGGTTCAGATCCGGACCCCGCCCTGGCTTTGGCCACGCGCGGCGTGGTCCCGGCTCTGCCACGCCGACAGGAACCTACCTCCTTGTTCTGCTGCGTCTGCTGCCACCTCCATCTTCGCTTCAGGGCCTCCCTCTCGGCCCCTGTCCTCATCATGGTGTAGAGAGCTTTCCGCAAAACCAGGTCCCGGTCGTGAAAGCCCCACATTCCTGCAGCCAGGAGGCCCGTGAGGGGCAGAGGAGAGAGGAGGGATGTGAGGAGGAGGGGGGCCAGCCGGCAGGCGCTGAGACCACCACCGCCTTCCAGCCTTGGCCCCCGCAGCTGTGTGAGCAGATTAGCTCAGTAGCCAGCTGTTCAGTTCTCACGATTAGCAAGCAGCTGCCCTTCTGTGCTCCCTTGTGATGTTTCCCGTGGATGCAGGCAGCGGGGAAGGAGCACGGCCCCTCCTTAGAGCAACAACAGTTTCGCTAAGTGCTGCCTGTCTCAGGGGCCCTTGGCAGGCTGCCCTCAAGCTCTCAGGTTTGCTCTGAGGGATATAATGTTTGTGGTCCGGGCCTTGTATTCGAGTGGGAGAGAGCCTGTGGGGACAATCGGTGATGTGCCCTCACACAGGGCCCAGAGCCGGGATGGCAGGCAGACTCTGGCTTCATCGGGGGTCTGCTGCATCTAGCCCTGAGGCATCTCAGCACACATCTGGGGCCCGTAGAGAGCACCTGCATCTGAAGGAAGTGCCCCTCCTGGCCTGTGCCGGGTGCCCAGGGGTCAATAAAGACAAACCAGCATCTCTGAGTACGCCTTTGGCGCAGCTCAGAAGTGGCCAAGAAACCCAACCAATGGAAGAAGCATCGTGAAAGAGAGATGCAGCTCTGGCTACAGGGAGAGAGTGGGGGAATTCATTCATTCATTCGTTTAATTGAATACCATTAATTCCACTTAATTCCACACTTATTTCACAATAGGGCTGAGGCACCATTCTAAGTGCTGGGAATATCCGCAGCAGCAACCAGGACAGACTAAATTCCTAAAATCTCACGGAGCCCACACTGAGGGGAGGAGAGGCCGGCATCGAATTAGCACGTAACACCCTATGTTTCGGGCAGCAGCACCGTCGGGGGGATGAAGCAGGCCAAGAGGGCAGAGTGCTGGGTGGTTTGGTCACGGCGTGAGTGGAGACATTGGAGCAAAGACTTGAGTGGTGAAGCATGGGGCTGAGTCACAGGAAGAGGCCAGGGCTGGCCCCGAGGAGGCCCACGTGGCACACTAGGGAGGGAAAGACGGCTGGAGCTGGGACGGAGGGGAAGAGGTGGAGACTGGAAAGGTGGACTTGAAGTGAGCTGGGACCCCCTGGAGAGCTTTCAGAGAGCACTGACCCGCACTGACTGATGATCAAAAGCCCAAACTGGCTGTACATCCTTTAGTGCAAAGACACGCAGATAACCTTGGGGCTGCTGCGGGCTTTGTGTCCAGGGAGGCTTTGGTCTTTTTCTGCAGCACAGACGGAGGGAGGTGGCTATCAACACTCCTTTTATGAACAGGCTGAGCTGAGCTTTCTCATCCCTCAGACCTACCTGCAGCCTCCTCCCAGGCAGGGCAAGTCCCAGGTCCAGTCTACAGGCCATGGCTCCTTGTTTGGGTCTCTTTTGCAAAGAGGGTCTCCTTGTCCCATACATATTTGCCCACAAGCATGACCCCAGGATTACCATCATTTCTATGTGTGCCCCACACCCTAGGTCAATGCCAGGGCTGGTCAGCAGGTCCAGTAAGCCCTGCTGGTGCGTGTGGCATGGCCACTTCGGGCAGTCCTGCTCCTGTGGGGTTCAGCAATTTAAGTACAAAAGGGGAACAAAGTACTGGGAGAAAAGAACCAACAGGCCAAGAGTCCCAGGCTCAGTCTTGGCCTTAGCCTCTCTTGCAGCTGGAGTGAGGGCCACCTGCAGAAGGCTTTCTCTTCCCAGGCAGACCTGGAGGGCCTGCTGTGCTCACAGGGAAACACATGCCATCAGACAGGACCACAGTGGCGTGTGGCCAACTGGTCTGTGGCCTTATCCACCCATGGTCATGCCGGGGACAGTGCCTCTGCATGCTGCAGTTTCAGAATGACAAAGGCATTTCCATGCCTGAAGCTTTGTAAAGAGGCTGCTGGTTGACACAGAGGAGAGACCTCTTCTTTCATTTTCCTTCTCCAGGTTTTATACAGAACAAGGTGAAATAAGTTCCATAAGAGGGAGATAGTGAATATGTTACGATGGAATAGGACACAACTAGCAAAAATATGTTTTTGAAGAACAGCATGGAAAATTCTCAATATAATTTTAAGGGAAAAATGTTGGATTCCAAACTGTGAACACCGTGAGATCCTAATTTCACTGGAAGAATAGACAAAAGTGTGGAAGACAATATACCAAAATGTTAAAAGCAGCCATCGCTGGGCAGTGGGATTGCTCATTGTTATTTTACTACGATGGATGTGGAGTCAACAGACAGAAATGCATTAGTTTTGAAAGGGAGGAGGTAGGTGGGTACCCTTGTCTTCCCCATCACCCCTTGCCAAGCCCATGGAATGTGGGATGTTCCCTTTGCTCTTGGGCTCCATCCTCCTCTGGGCATCTCGGGGCCCTTTCCAGGTCCCCTCATTACCCTCTAAGCCTTTTCAGGCTCATCTCAGCCCACCTCTTACAGAATAGGCCTCACTACAGGTCTGAAGCGAGGTCTGGGGCATCCTTGCTCTGGGACACAGCATCGGGTTAAGGTCATGTTTACCTGGGGAGGCGAGTTTGACCAACAAGGACCATACTCTCGTCGGAGGGGCCCATCCCTGGAGAGGGTCCTCATACTGCAGGACTGATAAGGCGCCACTGGCACTGATACTGGGGTCCCCAGCACAAATCCAGTTCTGCCTGTGTTGTAAGCCTGGGTCCAGAGGGGTTAAGTGAGCTTCCAGAAAGTCTACCGTGACCTTCCATCATCCAAATATTGCCACCCACACTTGTGCATTTGCTGGTGTTGCTTTTTGTAACCAGGAAGCTCGCATCTCCGTTGGAGGAGGTTGCTGACCTCTCTGTGGTGTATTCTGACTGTGCCATGTTATTTACCCAAGCAGTACCTATGTCTGTCTTTTTGTGAGTCTGAGTGCATCAGCTGCAGTCAGTGTGGTGGCCCCAGACCTACCCAACCTCATGCACTGCTCCCCAGACTTCCTGCTCGAGCCCATCAGGGCTTAGCCCCGACCCCAAACACCATGTTAATTTCTGCCTTTCTGCTTTATCTATGTGGTCTCCCTGCCTGGAAGGTCCTTTTTATAGTCTTTCAAGTTCTTCAAGTCTCAGTAAAATCTCACCTCCTCCAGGAAGTCCTCTTTGATTGCTCTAGATCACGATGTCTAATGCCCATCCCTGCAGCTCTGCTCAGGCCTCCTTCTATCAGGACAGGTCTTTTCTCGTGTGTGCTCTATGTCCCCACCAAGCCTGCCAGCTGCTTGACAAGAAGGGTAGGGATTGTTGGCTCCATCCCTTGGGGACTCTTCCAGATGACAGTAATGCACGTGGCTCTACTTAGTATATGATTGTCCTTTAATGACGCACAGAGCAGGCCTGGGCACTGCCACCCTCTGTCTAACACTGTGGGGCTTACCCAGTGAGGCAGCGTGTAAAAGGCAGTTCCCGTCCCCTGTCGTGGCCAAAGGAAGAAGCCGTTTACAGCTCGTGCACACGGTGGACCACCAGTTCAGGCGACCTGGAACAGAAGCTCACGTTTAGAATCCCAGGACAGGCAGGGATGTTTGCTAAGTAAGCTTAAACATTGGCGGATGATTTTCTAGAGGATTCTAGAGAACTTCATTGGTAAGGTGGAGGGTTATGGCTACTTATTCTCAAAAAATATATAGATTTTTTTCTTCTCTAAGATAAAAAACGGCCAAATTCTCCCTTCAACTAGCAAGAAACTCAAGACTAAAGCCTTCTCTCCTTGAATCTGGGAACACATTTTACACAAAATGTAAAATTTTTCTTTGTGTAATTTCCTTGAACACAGTTTCCCCTCCCAAAAGTTATTTTTCTAAAAAAATACCATCCTTCTTTGCTGATGCATACATACCTTTGAGAGTATGGTTTATATTTAATTTTTTAAATTGACATATAGTTGATGTACAATGTTCCAGGTGTACAGCAAGGTTGTTCAGTTATACATATATGTATATATATATATATATATATATAATTCTTCAGATTCTTTTCCATTATAGGTTATTACAAGATATTGAATATATTTCCCTGTGCTATACAGTAGGTCCTTGTTGTTGTCTATTTTATATATAGTAATGTGTATCTGTTAATCCCAGACTCCTAATTTATCCCCCCTTTCCCCTTTGGTAACCATAAATTTGTTTTCTGTGTCTGTGGGTCTATTTCTGTTTTGTAAATAAGTTCATTTGTATTATTATTTTTTTTAGACTCTACATATAAGTGATGTCATGTTATATTTGTCTTTGCCTGACATTTTAGCTATTTTGGTAGAGTCATGTTAAATTTCATCAACACATCTCGAGACTTCTGCTTGCAGGAAGACAGAGTAGACATCCTCTCCACTACCCTTTCTACTAACTACAACTAAAACCCCTGGACATTATGTATAAAACAACATGGAGTCGGAGCTCAGGGAGAGGACTGGGGTTGGCGGCTTGAACATAGCCGGAAGGGGTTAGTGCGCCACGGCTAGCCGGGAGGGAGACTGGGGAAAAGTCTGCACCTGCTGAGGAGGCAAGAGACTTTTTCTTGCCTCTGTGTTTCCTGGTGCGCGAGGAGAGGGGTTTTAAGAGCGCTGCCTAAAGGAACTCCAGAAACGGGCGC